ACTATGCCTTCCAATAAAACCACCCGGTTACACATAAATAACACATCATTTCTTCAGTGTACAGTTTTTTAGGGACTTGCAATGCATATATTCTTGTACAGTTCTGTATAAATTACTGGTCTGACTGTGTTGTCACCTCAACAAATTATCTTTCTTAGAGTCTGTATATTCCAGTTAGTGATTAACTAATGAATGAATCAATTTGTTGACAATTATTTCTGCAGTTGATTAATGAGATTACTCACTTCAGTCCTATATTAATTCATACATCGCTATTTATCTTTATGTCGGGGAAAGCTAAATGTGATTTTACTCTAAATTTAAAGGAATCTGATGAGAAAAAGGAAGAGGAAGAGAAAAGTGATGCTGCCAAAAAGGATGAAGCACCAAAGAGACCCAAATGGATGCCACCCGGACAACCAGGGTAAAACCGAAGCAACAAAATGTTCCCACACCCTAAACTTTGTTGTTTTCAGCAAAAGAAAATTTATTTTGTTTCTTTTTTTTTTATGTTTCCACAGATTTGGAAATCCACTCATGTCTGAACTCAAGACCAAGCTGAAGAAAACTCCCAAAGAGTGACAACAATAATTTGAATGCTTTCTGTGAATAGCTCACTATATTATAAATATTGCTCTGTTTTTGTCTTTTATCTAACTAAAAGCATTGATGAGATTTTCATGCTATGTACTTTTTTTGGTATTTAGCATTTATAATAAAGCAAATCCAAATACAGAGTTGTTGTTTCTTTCATGCAAAGATTTGGCCACACGAGGCCATGATGACAATATCTGATCCTCCTTTTTATTCTGTACAAATACTGACTGCTGGTCTAACACACACCTTTATTAAGAGAGGGTTAACCATTATTATTGCTATTATTATTATTATTATTATAACTCTTAAGTAGTAGTAACAGTAAGGAACTGATCTTTTGTTTACAGAATAAGGAATAACAAAGATAAGTATAACAAAGATAAGTAAATAAATAAAAATTGTACTAATTCTTAAAACAAAATTGTTCAAGGAAAAAATCATTTTAGGAGTAGTTTTACTACACTGTACTTTTTACTTTTACTCGAGAAATATTAAGTATCGCAATGCTTACTTAAGTTACATTTCTCAACCTACTGTGAGTAATTTTACCTAAAAAAAAAAAATTAGTTTCACCATATTTATTCAGAGACTCACCTATAGTTTATGTGAAAGTGAGACAAACATAACTTTTAATTTTTTGTCTGTCTGATGACGTTATTGTGTAATATTGAATCAGAAGTTATGGCGAGTTACTCAGTACTTAAGCAGACTTTTTACCAAAAACATTTTCACTCTTACTTGAATATTATTTCAAGGTAGTAAGTTAAAATATGTTGAAGTAGTTCCACTCTTACTTGAGTAAGGTCTTCTTGACACTGCTTAACTTGTTTTACAACAAAATGCCACTCACAATATGGCTGCGCCGTTTAACTGAAATGACGGGCTTGTTCAGAATTCACTCTTTTATATATTTATTAGTTTCTGTTTGGGCATTTTTATGTCGTCATTTGTCAAGGTCAGCCATGACTGTTTTATATATGTGTTTTTAATACATCAAAAATACTGTTACAAAGACTGTCGGTTATTTTCTGAGCCCCTCTTTTATAAACCTGTTCAAGCGGTAGATGGCGATAAAGTGCTCTGATAAGAGTCACGAAGAAGAAGCATCGGGCTGTGATTGGCTGGTATTATTATAAAATGAGGAAACTGATACTTTCAAACTAGACTGGCGTTTCAACGCTTGTGTTGTTTTTATGGATTTTGGCATTTCGTCCGAAATCACGGTGGTTTAAAGTTTATGATTTTGAACTAAAACTAAAGATCGCCTGTTAAAATACATCCTGAAACATAAAATAGACGTGTCTTCTCCAAGGTAAGCTTACTTAAGCGAATTTTTCGTTGAAATTGCCACAGTTACTGCGCATTAGCAACAGCCTTTAAATGCGTACGTTCAGTTACTTTTCAGTGTTTTAGCAACAGTTAAGCAGTAATACTTTTATAAACGTATTTGCCTATGTTCAAACGTTTGAGTCCGTCTTCATTAAGTTTACTGACTCTGGAAGAAGGGAGAGGTTAACGGCTCAATCTGGTCATCAGTTTAAAACTGTAGTGTTGTTCGTCTAGGTCCGCTACTGATTCTCTTTATTCAGGTAATAAGTACACTTTTTGTCACACCACATTTTTTACCAAGTGAACACGTGCAAGTGATGTTACGTAAAACATAATATATTTTCTTGACTATTTTTAGAAAGCGTCTGAAATGTTTTCTCCATGTTTAGTTTAGTTACATATTTTACCATCGGACAGACAAAGTTGGTATCAATTGTCCCCCTTTTTTTCCTCTCTTTGACCCGAGTTGTATTTTTTTAGCCCATGAAGTTTTATGTAGGGGTCTGGATGTGGATAAGCTGGTCAACTGGTTTAGCCACAACTTTTCAAGTTTGGTATTCACGCCACACCCACGGCATAATATGACCCCTTCAGGTGGTTAAACTTTTCCATGGCTTTTTCCACTGATGGTTAAAAATCTGATGCCAACAACACTTGCTTATTTTTTGTGTGGCTAAGATGAGTATCTCAGCCAGTTTTCTCTGAATTATCAGAATTTTGTTTGCTCTCAGTGTTTCAAAAATATTAGGAAACCATAATGTTGTAATGCTGAGTTGTAAAAATTAATTTAAACTAATCCATATTTTGTTCTCTCACTCTCCCTAGACTTAGGATTTTGCTTCCTAAGCTCTCTGTCTGACATAAAGTCAGTGGAAGTCAATCAGTGTGGCCAAATATTGTATCGGCCAGCTGAATTTGAATGAAAGGCACCTGAAATATAATCATAGTTTTGGCAAATAATTTTGATTTTATTTTGTAGTCCCTTCAGTGGCCTCTGATTGTACAAATATGAAAACTAACAGGTTTTCATACAAAGAAAAGGAAGCAGCATAAGATCAAACTGTATTAACAAACACCAACTCTATTTCTTTATTCATTAAACTTGTGGAATGGTGGAATTATGTTTGTTAGAAATTGGGAATACAGTTGATGATTTTTATCATTTTCTTTTCCTCCACAGAGAGCCTGCTTTGAGACTGTGAGAGAACTTTGAAGAAAATGTGCTTAAAGCCTCTCTAGTATTGTTTTTTTTTTTTTTTAGAAGAGGAAAGTCCTGTTTCAGTCTTCCTCAAAGCAAAACAAAGGAGTCGCTCTCTCATGGCTAATACCACAACCTCATACATCACAGTGGATCCACATGCTGATGAATGCCGTGAAAATGTTCCACCTAGAGATCCTAAAGCTGATGACTCTTCAAAGCTAGAAAACACTGAGAATTTCACCTTACAGTTGCAAGAAGATGGTGTGAATGCTTTTGTCTCTTCCACTCCTGCTTTAAAGAATAAAAGCAGTGATTTCCAGGCAAAGTCGTTGCTGTCAGGTGTGCAGTATGCTCTAACCCCAGTCTTTAAAAACCCAAATATCTGGAATAAAAGCGCATCTCCAGAGCCTTTTAAACTTCGAAACAGTTCTAATCTTGCTGTTCCTTCTAGTTTTCATGCTGCAAATTGTCAAAAATCAACCAGAGACTCAAGGACACAAAAGAATGGCGAGGATTTCTCTATGATCAACAATGAATGCTTGCCTGAAGTTACTCTGTTCGATATTACCTCAGATTCAATGATGGACCTGACAACGAATGATTCAGTCTTCCCTGAAAGACAACATGCAACTCCTCAGCTTTATGTTAAAAAGACAAACACTTCAGATCATCAAAATAGCTTTTGTACAAAGGTGGATGAATCTTTT